CCAAAGTCACCAACAGGTCTTGAGGAGTCAAGCAACGGTAAGTTCTGAGAATGTGAACTGATCCCCATGCAACCAGGCTACAAGCGTCTGAATTAGTGACAGTCTTTATCCTGCAGCGGTAGGTCCATTAGGGCCATGGAATTAATGTCTGTTTAGACAATTTGGAGTTCATACTTCCCACCCTCTGCCGCTACCAGAAAATGCTATATATAGCATGAAGAGCTCCTGCATGAATGCTTCCTATCCAGAGATTGTGAAGTGCTGCTTCTGTGGGATTTACTGAATGTGGTTTGGCTTATAGGTTGGTCTTTGTTTCAAGACATTACCACACGTGAACAGCTACTTTTTCTAATAAGTTTGTTCTTTTATTGCTACTGTACAGTTACAAAAATACCCTGAAGTGAAAACGCAACTTCCAACCGTAGTGCAGTGGTTTGACTATATCATACATTTTTAAATAATGCAGAAAATAAGACAAGAATAATTCAAACACGGAGATGTCATCTTGGAGGTTTTATCTGATTTTTTTTTTAATGTTTTACATTTTATTAACACCTTCTTCACCATGAAAGCTTGTGAGTAACAAGTAACAGCCTTTGATGAGCCTCATGTGCCTGCACAGAGCCCAATGACTTCAAAAGGCGAGGGTTGGGTGCCAAACATCTGCAGAGGTCTTTGATGCTCACGGTAGGCTGGGAGTATCTAGCACAGCTCAGGACTAGGACTGAGGTGCTGACACTTTGCTTCCTTCCTCACACTGAGGGCTAAGCCAAGACCGTCTACTCCTTCCTAAGAACGAAAGCTAGAACAAATGCTGACTACTCAACCCTCATCTTTGCAGCCCTTGAGGAAGCTTTCAGAGTAAATCTGCAGCTGAGTGAAACTGAGCAGTTTATGCGTCATACAGCGACTGTGCTTTCATTTTCATCAAACTGGCCCCTGTTGGAAAGCAGCTTTATGCAAAAGGAAAAGAAAAATATATTGAACATGCAAGCCTGCAGTAATATGTGGCTTTATGTCCCTGTTACAAGCTGATGAGTTTAAGTCTTAGTCCATTGTGTGCCTATGTTCTGACCCACCTCCAGCATTACTGCTTTCTAAACCAAGTGACCTGTTCAGATGAACTTCACAAAAAATCAGAGTTAAAAACTCTAAACAGACCCTGTTGAGAACAGGTATTGCAGAATATCCACTGCTGGCAGTGGAAATGTTTTGAAGTTCTGAGGTACAAATGGTAGACCTGCTGGAGCTAGATGCTTTGCATGATGTTTTTCCTTAGGTGACACCCAGCGCTGCTTTACAGAGCTCCTACTGCACACCCCTGCTGCCCAGAATGGACAGCTTTCTTCTCTTACCTTCTGCAAGTCCGTTAGGTCTTAGTTCAATGGTCAGGGCATTTTTGGCATTTTGCATCCTTTTATGTTTTTTGTTGTTGTTTTTCCACAACTTAAAATAGAAAGGTTAAAACCATGCTATTGCTAGCCTAGCACAAACGGGGAGACTTCTCAGGAACTAGTACGTTGGGGTATTTATAATGAGTATTTTATGTACTATGAGCATTACTTGGAGCAGGAATTGCGATCCGTACTCTGGAATGATGAGTTATGTAAATAGTTTTTCATATATATCTATTACCACTCCTGTTTTGGCTGGTTTTGAGCCTCCTGTTAAGGAACTCTGAATGCCTGTGAGCTTTGGGCAGCAATCAGAATGTATGAGGTACAAAGTTGCCCAAAAAAGCAAATTAAGACAGTTGTTACCATTTGAAAACTTAGTTGCTGTTTTACGCTGAAAAAGCTTGTCTGATTAATTAGTCTTTTTTTCCTCCAAGCTTACAAGGATAGAAAAGAGCTAAAAATAGCCTACACACTTTATTCCTGGTACTTTAAAAGCAGTCAAAAGGATAGTTTTTGCTGCTTCTCCCTCGCTTTGTTTGGGATTTTTTTTTTTTTTTTTTGACACATCAAACAAACTAGAGCAGCAAAGTACACCTTACTTCTATTTATATGGCAATCTGTATCTAATGCAGTGACACCAGTCTTCAGACTGCTGTACTACTTCGCAAGACTAAGTGCCCACCAGTCCTGATTCAGTCATGTATACTCTTAACTTAACAAGGATGGTTGGGTTGCTGTACATCAGCTCACAGTTGCAACCGGCACAAGCTCTAAAGCTCAATTGCAAGCCAGACAACATGTATCTGAATCGATGAGAAATGGCAGTTTTCAGCATTAAAATAGGAAGGGCAAGTCTAGAACACCAATTACAGTAGCCTTGAAATCACAGCATTAAAAGTTGTAGTCGATACGACAAGCAACCATATTCAACAGTTTCATAGTGACGAAGGAAATTACAATACTGATTGCTAGCAAACGCTCCTGTCTCTTGATTTCAGCTACATTCCAGAAAGAATAGAAAGTAATAAATCAGGGTCTTGGCTCTTAATAGAGGAAAAAAAAAAAGTATCTTTTCTCCTGGAAAAAAGAAACTGCACTTTCAATCAGCAGAAGTACTTCTATGATGTATAAAGAACTGAAATATTAGGAAAATGATGTGAACAGGGAAGTTGTTTTTTGGATCATGCATGTTATGTAGAGATGCCTTACTTTATGGATTAGCTGGGCTATCAAGAGAGATCTGATTCTGTTGGTAGTTCATTCCATCATCTTGAGACACTTATCGGAACGCAACGGACATGCAGTAGACTCAGACAATGGTAATGTTGCTGTTCAAATAAGCTCAAGGCACTTTGTTTCTTAAATCATTGCCTTTGATAACAGTAGCTTCCCATCAACCGCTTCTGGGGCTCCCCTGTTCAGAAACACCTTCAGTGAAATGTATAGGATTAAGCATCTCCCTTTGAATATTTACATACATGTCAGAATATGGAATACAGCCTTGGGAAGCCTGTTTGAAATGTCTGTTTCAGAGCTATGATGTTGACAAAATTACTACCTAACAGAATAAATGCTTCTCTAATACAGCTATACTTCGGACTGCACAATGTTAGCAGACCAACTTTGGGTAGCGTAATTTTGGTACAAAACACAACTCCCAGCAGGAGCCAGCCATTGCCACAGAGGGAGGGGAAAGTTAAAGGGCCTGTGGTGGGTTATTTGCATAACAGACAGGAGGTGCCATGTAGATCTCATCAGAGGAATTTGTCAGTTTTTGTCCTTCTGCTCTCTTAATCACTCTTCAGCCCTCAACTCCAAGCTTTGGTGCTGTACCCTCGAGTGAACACGCTCATAAAAAAGCAAGTAAGCACTAGAAGAAAGGACTTCCTGCAAACTAGCTTTGCGAACAGTGTCATCTGAAATCCATAGCCACTGAGTGCTGACAGAGAGTGGGTTCTTGGGAGAAGGTGGAGAGCGGCGGTAAGTCACAAAGTGTCCAGAATGCATGTCTCCATGATGAACTACAACTGCCATCAGACGGTAAAGGTATACAGGGGAACTGAAGGACAAATGAGAAAAAGGAAAGGGTCAGCAGCCCTCCTGGATCACACACATGCCAGAAGCAGCCCCACTTGCTTTGTCTTCAGTTGCAATTTCTTTTTGGAGCAAATAGATGGCTCCATAAGAGACGTATTGCCTTGCAATTACTGTTCAGGAGACCAAGTCTTCACTACAGTGCTGCCTTATTCTTTTATTGAGAAAATCAAACCGTTTATTTTAAAAGTTTATGCTACAGAGGGCTACTACATTTTGTACAGCATAACCAACTGAATTTTGCAACAACGTTTTCCATCAAACCTACCAATGTGCCAGTGTTTAGTGCTTATTAAAGCACTGTTATTGGACAGAAGAGCTATTGTAGAAGAATGCGCTTTTAACTGAAAAGAGGTAAAACTGCAGCAGGTAACCCACAGATAACAATAGACACACTTTCAACAACTTGCTCTACAACTGTCTTCATAACAAACATTTGACACAAAATGCTTCCAGGCTTCTTATTTCACACAGTGATTGTGGGAATTGTCTTCCCCATGGGGAAAATACACAATGGCACATAGAAGAAGTGGTATAGAACTAAATATACATTGGTCACCAGCATGAAAATAAGTGAACATTCTCAAAGGCCAAGAAAACAGATTATCAGGAGAAGCATCAAGGCTGATTTACTAAGTAGAATCATGGCAGCTGCAAATTAAATCAAGCTTATTAAATAAAATGTTTGAAAAAAAAAATCCATAAGAGATCTATGGATTTCTGGCAACAGTTTTAAAATCAGAGTAAGAGGAAAAAAAGAAAGGGTAGAGGAAAACAGCAAGGATAAGATTATGGCTATTCAGAAGGATGATTTACTGCACCATGAACCAGAGAAAGGAGATTTTGAGTTTTGCTTGTAACATGCTCTACTCCCTTTTCTAGGAGAGAAATGGAGCCAAAAAAGACAACCGCTAAAAATTGGCCAAGAGAAAAGCAAAAGACTTCTGCACAGGAGCTAGGATAGATGTTAAATTCTGTGACTATACAGCCTCATAGTAAAGACAGAATAAAGGAAAACATAATTTGAAGGGACGGAAATTACAAGATAGGGTAAAAATCTTTAACTTACCTGCATTCAGGGAATGCAGCAAGTGGAAAAGTTCCTGAGGACATTAAAAATGAAGGGGAGCAGGCACCATTCATGAAGAGCAGTTTAGTACCAGATGGCTGTTCTGCATCTGCAAGAGGAAGTAGACATTCAGTAATTTAACTTAAATGCTACTATTAGTATTGCTAACTGTGCTTCTGTTCCTGCAGTACTTTTCATCACAGAATATGAAGGTATTTTACTTCCTTTAATTTATTACATAGCACAGTCCCTTGAGAGATGCAGAGGAGTATAATATCCAAAGACAGCGGTAATTGTTTTTACATGACACAAATATGAAAATAACCCTGTTTACAAAATCCCAACTAAATAGAATATTGAGCTGCCTAAATGACAGACCTACTACAGCTAGATTTTCTAATTGTTTTTTTAAGAAGTCAGTATTCCCAGCATTCTTTCTATGCTTGTCCTGAAGCCTTAGAAGAGATCACTAACAAGATAATCCCTAGGACTTCCCGAGTTCAAACATGCGAGTTCTATGCTAGCTGGGATTTTTTTGTTTGTTTTTTAAGTTTTTTTATTATTTAGTAAGACCAAATTAAATTACCAAAACTGAACTGTAAACTTGGAAAAGGGTATCCTAATGCTTGCTGGGAAAGGGATTTCTACCTCTCATCTTTGCACAGATCCAAATAAAGATGCTGCTCTTATGTTCATTCTGCAGAGTAGAATGTTTTATCACCGAAACAGAGAAACACCTGATAGATTTTATTTTCAAATAAGTACCTGAAGGTTTTACTGCTACCCCATCCTTCGTTCCAGGCATTGTCTCTTCAGAGTTTTTCTGATTCAGCTCATTCTGGCTTGATTTATGAACAGGAATGCGGTATTTGTAGATGTCCATGATCAAGAACTCATTGAACTGCACATGTTCGTGACGTTTCAGAGGAGTGCCTTGGTTTGACCAGCTCAATCTTTGCAGATGGATGCACAAACACTGAGGGAGCTTCAACAATATTCCATAGAAAAGGAGAATCAAAATACATTTTAAATTAAGAGAAACAGGTGTTCAAGTTAAAAGCATACTAACCAAACCACTAAGTCTAGTAGATAGGGAAATACATGACTGAACTGTTCCCTTATGTGCTACTATATCTGCGTGTAAACTTATTGGCAACAGTATCCCTAAGACATGACACTAGCTCACAACTCTCTCGAGATTTCTGCCAATGCCACTACTGCTCACTCACTAGGCAGTAGGATAGCTAGCTAATGTTAATAGTTTTCTCCAAATGGAAGAAAAAAATCAATAAAAATACATGTGTGTTCCTAAAAAGCCCATCTGTCAATCTCATTTAGCTTGTTGATCTGTGAGGTAGAAATGAGGACTGGAATTTGTTGGAGCGAGTTGTTGTAAGACATTTGCTAATGCTCAATAAGTAATGGCTTTGCACGGTGAGAGTACCAGGGGGAAAAAAAGGTTAAGTAATTATAAATATCTGACATTCAAAGTCATGTCAGGGTTAACCTCTATCAGTAAGTACATATTGTTATTAATGGCACTTGAGGCTCTTAATTACAGACCAGTGCCCTGTTGTCCTCTGCATTATATGATTACAGAGCAAAAAATAATAAAAGCTTCTAATATAAACTACACCTGATGTTTAGCACCATATTCACTTATTTAAACCAGCTGTATTTAGAACATTTCAATTTCTTTGAAACATGCAGTTGCTAAAGATCCTACATTGTACATATGAATCACTACTGCCACTGAGCCAAACTCAGGTTTAAGTGTTTTGCTGAATAACAGTAGAATAGTCACATTCTTTAAGCTATAGAGTTTGATGTTTTGCTGAATCGAGGCCTCAATGCCTAAGAATATTTGACACATGAGCTTACTTTTTTCAGTAAAACATTAAAGTAGTCTAATACCAAGAAGTGGACATTGAGCAAAGACATTAAAGAAATTACTGTATAATAGGATTTAAAAATAGATTTGGAGGGTTAGCTTGCCTCACCTTTCCTAACTTTAATTGCTTAACAAATGTTGTTCTCTGGTTTTCTATGCTCTGTCCATTCAGAGTCCCTTCTGCTTGAATCTGAAATCAAAGGGGGAAGAAAAAAAAAAGCCATTTGATTACCTGCTGTATCAGATTACACATAACAGTGCAGGTCTGCACACTGCAGACAAAAGCAATTTTTTATCTAGAACTATGCTCAGTACATTAATTACACCTACAGTTTTCTTAAGAATTGTTGGCCTATCCTAATGGATCAGAATTCTAAACCAAAGTCAAGCAGAAACGAGCGTTTACAGAAGAAGCCCAGTCTCCAGGTTTACGTGTAGTCATATGCCATTTCTGTTGGTTTTCAAACAAGCCACTTTGGCTCTGTGCTATCATCAAATTAGAGGCAACTGGAAAATACTGTCTAAAATATCAGAACAAAAAAATTATCCCAAATATTATCTAAATAATACCTGGTAATTAGAGAATAAAGTATTTGTGTATTTTATATTACTACAAAATATTCTGTGAGATAAGAACTCAGTTTTAAATACAAGAAATCCCAGGCAGGCTAGAGGCTTTCCTGAAGTCATGAAGAAATGAGTAGAAAAAAGAAGCTGTAATTCTGTCAGGAGGCTTAAAACTGAGCTAGAAGGTTATATAAATTTAAATGACATACTTTAGTGCAGTTGTCACACACGACACCCTTTACAGATTCAGAGGAGATGAAATGATGGAGGCAGTGGTCCAGCGTCATAGGACGACCCTTAGTACGAAAAAACAAAATTATTTGCAGTAATTTTAGGGTACATACTACTTCATTTTGTGAAAGGATTTTTCATAATTTCTTCCATAGAAACTACAGAATTGTAGACTTACTTCTTGAGAAAACTGACTAAATGACTTTGAGTATAGAACACTGATAACTAACTATGGGAATTCTTCCTTAGCCTAGATTAAACATGGAAAACATTGTAGATAAGAACAGTAGCTATGACTCCCTGTGTGGCTCCTTTAGTGGGGTTTTAAACTACAGATTCCTGGCCCTGTTACTATTTCTCTCTAAAGTTCCAGCACTTCATGGATCACTTTATGCACTCTGACCCTCTACATAGGAAAATGCAGCATTTAATTGAATTTAGGCACTCCTTCCTATCCTTCCTTGTAGACTGTACTACATACTGCCAAGTATGAAGGGCATAATCTTCAATGATGGTATAAAATAAAAGAAAACACAAATAGCAGAAGATGTGTCTAAATCCCAATCCTAGCTGTCCAGGATTGTATTCTGTAGGTACAAGTCAGAGTTTCCATGAGTGCAAGTAGTTGCTATTTGTCTGGAAAGACAAAATCACTAGCAGACATTAAGTAACAAACCGTTACAGTTCAAAAATGTCCTGCACGTTTTGCCCCCAAAATCTACAGTGTTATGTCATTCAGAGTTTTTCAGAGAGCCAAAAAGAAATGGAAACAATTTCCAGTTGAAATCACTTGATCCAAAAGCCTGTGTTGGGTAACTTGTGTACTGTCACCACAGAGACAGAGCACCCAAAGGTCACCTTTCAAGACTGCCAGAAACAGCTCTCGGGATACGTTCGGGTCTGTTCAAATTACGCAGAAAGCACCAGGAGAAACAGAAAGCTCTGTTGGTGTCAACAAAGTCATGCTGCTTGTACTAATTGGTAATTTGCACCAACACATTAGTGGTAAGGCACTGTATTAGCACAACAGGATCATTTATAAAAAGGCAAGAAAATAAACTGTAGCTACTCATTTACACTTAGGCTGTAGCATCTTAAAAAGACACTAGTGAAGATAAGGCTATGACGACAAGGCAATAGACTGGCTGGATCATGCTGCGTCAGTGAGGGGTACGTACCCACACAGCTGCTGGAATACTCAGTGAGAGACTGTCGAAGGTATCATACCTCACAGGACTCTGCAAGAAAATATTGCACATATCCAGTGAGCTAAAATTGATGATGGTTCAGGAAAAAAAAAAAACAAAAAAACCACCACCAACCAACCTCACAAAAGCTGAACACATGCCCTCTGCTGTCCACAGTTATCTGGTGGAATAGGGTCAAAACCACCCGCTTTGCCAAGCATGGTGCTAGGGAACGCTAGGTACACAAGGTGACACTTAGCCTGTTTCTGCTGAAGCTGCCCCTGCTCACTGAAATTTGTTTGCAAGTTTTTGAAAAGTAAAAAGTACTAAACATACTCTTAGAGTTTGAGCTACAAATGAGATTTACTTTCTGTATTTTTTCTTTATCCAGGTTATCTTCATCTCCTTACTCTGGATAACTGGACTGCAACTTAATTTTGCTTTGCACGTGCAATCTCAATACTGCATGCTGAATGAATAGCTCATCCTAAAATGCTACATGTGAGTGGATTTTCAGTATACAATGGCTGTGGTACTGAATACTAAATATAGTAAGACAGCTGTTATCCCCACAAAGTGGATCACACTTAAATTTCTTCAATATATTTAGTGATAGGTTCTTGTTCATCACCAACGCATAATAAGTACCTGAAAAAGTAACAGTCCTGCAAAAAAAAGCTGCCAGTCCTGCAAACCTTTGGAGCTTAAACCAGCTATGTCAGAAACAAAGGATGATAGTTTCAGAATGCGCTCCGAGTGTCAGACATCCTTTTTCATGTATACATATTACCAGACACACATTCCTCTACCTGGTGTTCACAGTGTTTGCAAACCATGTTGCTGGTCAGCCTTCCGTGAAAAGGATGCTGAGATTTCCAGTGATTTGACACAGGGGGAAGAGACCCTGAAACACAAAGTTGAAATTGTCCTTCTATTTTCAATACATCTGTGTTCGTCACTACAATTCCACATTTTTGGCCCACAGTAACAAAAGTAACTGCTCTAAGACATGTTCTGTCCCACTGACAAATAATTAATGGATTTTTTACAGCTGAAGACATGTATTTCAGTCCAATACAGACAAAGATCAATTAATATTAATTATCCCTTAATAAACAGAGTGACTACACTATGAATATTCATCTTGCAGAATGGAAAAAAGCATACCTCTTGTTCTGCAGCTTATTTGCTTTTGGGTTATTTCTGGCTGCTACAGAGGAAGATAAAAGAGTTCATTAACCCTACCTTAGAAACCATTAAGTATTAAATATGTTCTTATTTCATCCCTAATATGCTTCTATGTTCTTATTTCATCCCTAATATGCTTCTCTGACATTAAAACAATTGTGGGAGTTTTAGTGTCTCTTTATATTTGAGGAAGGCCAAAAAATCTGGTATGCAACAAATTTATAATTGACAAAAAGAACACTTCTAATAAAATCCATAATTAATGTGCAGAATTCTCTGCCTCAGAGTACTAAAATAAAAGCGTAACAGATTTATAAACCTTTTGTATATATTTTAGACAAAAAGAGATAGAAATTTTCTGTCTGTATGAAGTTTACCACTCAACTGGAGGAAAGATAAATTTCACCTCCAAATGGACTATTCCAGAAACGTCCATTTTGCAGTTTTCAAACCTCTTTCATGTGTCAGCTCTTACAGATAAGAGAACCGCTTTGATGGACTGCTGTTCTGTGCTAGTATTTCAACCTCTATACTCAATGGATTTAGGAATGCAAAAGCCTTCATGAAAGGGGGATCACTGTAAATTCAAATACATTTACTTATGAAAAACATTTTTCATTCTTTAGATTGTCTGACCTATTGATTCATTTCTATCAGAGTACTAAAGAAGAGCTTTGTAAACATAATGAAAATATGTTCAGTTTCTAAACAGACACTTTTTACTTGACACACTTAGGAATCTAGGCAGACTACAGAAACTTCTGATAATGAAATAACATTGGTAGAGAAGTCACCTCCAGCGAATGCACATCGAACAAATGTGTCACACGTGGCTGACGATCCCGTTCATCTTCTAATGAAGAGGTAAGGACATGAAATAGTTCATGAGCATCCTATTAAATAGAGGCATAAGACTTAGAGGAAGCGAAAACAGAAGACATCAAAACATACGCCAGGAGTACTGATACACATATGACTACATCATTGCAGTAGGAAACAAAAGGAAAAATTACCACTTAGAGCCCACCTGATGTATTAATAGTAATCATTTGTTCGATCAAAACTGCTGCAGTTTTGCCAAAAAGCTTTTTCTATAAAGCTGAACTTCGTAACAGCACACATTATTAAAAATATTCTGGGCCATATAAACTCAAAAGAGACTAAAATTCTTGGAGAAAAAAAGAAAAATGAATGTACAAAGGCCTGCTTTCCTTGATTTCAATAAAAGCATAATTGAAATCTCTGTTTGCTTTGGCTCTGAAATATAAAAGATAGAACCATATTTTATGAGTGAGATAATTGGTCAAGTTCATCGGCCAGCTGCACTTACTTAGGAGCTGAAAATACTGCAAACAAGAATTAGAAATCTTGCATGTTACATGTAAGTAAATTTGGAAATGTTAGTGGAGTCCATCCCTTGAAGCAGCATGGCACGTTAGCGTAGATCCATTATCTATAGCGGATTTAGGGCTGTATCCATTCTATTTTAATATTACTGGCTCCATTGTACCAAATCTGACGGTAATTAAGTATGAGGTTTTGAAGCAGCCAGGGTTTCCATGACGAATATCTAAGCAAACTGAAAACACCATTCATCAATCACATGGTTGTTTTCCTTCACTTTTTAAAGCAAACTTTTTGCTACAGCGAAGATTCAGATTTGACACGCGGGGCTATTCGTACCATAGCTTCAATTCTCTTGTTATTCTGTGTCTAAGCACTGAGGTGTATATCAGGCAGTCTAACTTGAATTCTGTAATCACCTGCTCTTCAAATGATGAGATCTGCCACCTGTACATCCTTAAAACCTCTAACAGGCAGCTTGCATCCAGGACATCATCTTCTGTTACCTCTTGACAGGATAAAGCTAGAGATACCGCATTTAAAAATGTTAGAGGAGCCACAAAGAACAGTTAGAACACAAATCTGTTTATTTTAGACTTTATGTTACTTAAGCATCATATAATCGATTACAACAGTTATTCTTGATTAAGACAGGTAGACAATGACAATCAAACTAGTATTTATTAATTACCATTCTCATCTGACTCAGGCTAACTGACTGCATACATTCTTCTCATCTAATATATATGCAAATTTAAACGTTTCTCAACTAACTGATACAGAGAGAATAAATATAAACACTGCCTGCAAAGACAAATTTTTGCTAGTGGATTGGGTAAAAATTGGTACTTTACATGTCACAGAAACCCCAGTATTAATGCCTCATCATCCTTACATCAGTTAAATGTACATGCTTAACTGGCACAGTTTTAGCATGAACAGTATCCTGAGACAGGAAAACTTCCAATGGCTTTCCTTTAAAACGAAGCCCTGTGAGAAAAGCCAGGGAGGGCCAAGAAATTGCTTAAACATTTTGAGTGCTTAAATAGGCTGCAACTGGTGCAGGAATTTAGCACAGAGGCAAGTCCGAAACGGGTTACCAAATTGGGCTGAGAGGCTTTAACATCTGTATCCAACATCATGCAATGTATCTCATTTTACAGTCCATATTTTGGGTAAAATAGTAAGCTTGGGAAAAAATGCTTAAATTATTCTATAATGCATTCTTTTGCTTTTATATAGAATTCTGAGCGCCCATCTAATTGTGATTGTATTTTTCCCATTTCTTCAATTACGCTGAGTCCACATTCATATTGTTTTAACCACTAATACTCTGTGAACAGCAAATGCATTAAAGCCTGTGGCAACGGATTCCATGCCCACATTTTCAGCACCACCGTTGCCCTCTACCTCGATTTGTTCAACCTGCTGGCAAACGGCTTCTTTGGAGCAATGTGCACGATGCTGGGCTGGCCGCCCACTGCTTCTCGATTGCCAGGCGACTCAAACAAAACCTGAAACCTTTCAGCTGTTGGCCAAGGAACCAACAGCTTGGGGACACATGCAGCTGGGCCTTGTGTTGTTCAGGCTCGGTACGCTAACTTAACACCTTTTGGATCTCTACCCCTCTGTGAAATTCGGTTGAACTTGGCCAATGAGTTCAAAGTTAGCAGAGGGAAATTAAAAAGAGAAGAATACAAGACCACATGATCTTCCTTCCCTTAGGAAAGGAGGCTAGAAACGGTAACATTTATGCTAACTATTTTCTTCTTAGTTTATCACAACATGAAAATGTTAAAATACCTCTTAGGAGATGCAGCAAAGTGAGTGACAAGTATTGATGCTCAGTGGACTGGTTCTGGTCTGTCTTGTATTGTGCTGTGAATTCCTCCAGCCACTTGATGAAAGAGGGACAGGAAGATAAGCCTTGCAGCAAGGAGTTCATGAAGCAGGTGTTTCCTAAGTTAAGAAGGCCAGGTACAAGCCCTACAAAGAGAAGTGTAAGGGTTTACACCATGAAGTCTAGGAAAACCTTACTGTTGTGACAGGACAAGGAGTAATGGTTTTAAACTAAAGGAAGACAGATTTAGACCAGATATAAGGAAGAAATTTTTTACCATGAGGGTGGTGAAGCACTGGCACAGGTTGCCCAGAGAGGTGGTGGAGGCCCCATCCCTAGAAACATTCCAGGTCAGGTTGGACGGGGCTCTGAGCACCCTGATCTGGTTAAAGCTGTCCCTGCTCACTGCAGGGGGGGCGGGCTAGGTGACCTCTAAAGGTCCCTTCCAACCCAAAGCATTCTATGATTATATTTTTGAGTAGCAAGTGTTGTGTTGGGTATTAAAATTACATTAAAATTGAATTATTTCAGTTTATTTGGTACTCGCACCCAGTGAAAACTAGAAGACCCTGGTATGTACAACAGCATACTGTAAAGTGTTTATATACATGGTGGTCTCTGAGACTTAAACCACTGTGAAAATCTTCTTAAAATTTCTTTGAAAAAACACTCTTTTTTCCCTGATAGGCACAGATTTCTATCAACAACACTAAGGTTCAGGGTTATCTGCAAGTTACCATATGAACTGCAAAATTCTTGGTTCCAACACGTAGCATAGGAGCCCCTTATCGTGCAGGTTTACGGAGCCCGTGGGGCCACTGCTGCACCGCTGTGTGCTTCAACTGGGTTTGGTGAAGATTTCTCTTTTGCTCAGATTAGTACATTGTTACGAAAACTCCTGGGTTGCCAAGGATTAGTATTTCTGTACAACTCTGCTTAGCAAAGAGAATTGCACTTCTCTTGCACTAATGTTCGATAAGAGCACGTTCATTTGGCACACCAAAATGCAAAATAAAATAAAGCGCGTTACCTGCAGCAGTTCAGTAATGGACTTATCATGACAGAAAAATATGTCTAATGAGTCAGGATTTTAGAAAAATGTCAATTGATACAATTGATACGTTACATAAGTAAGAGAAGTCCTTTGTTCAATACTTACTTTTTTTTTTTTGTTACATTTCTAACCAGGACAGCGACCAAAATTTTATCTTGAAAATAATTTACAGACGCTAATGCTAAAAACCAGAAACAGGTGCGCTTCCAACATCTAGGAGAGCGCTCGGGCCAAGGCGAAAGGCCCAGCAGAATGAACTTTGGCGGCTGCTTTCCCGTGCTCGCCGTGCCCGGGGCA